TTTTTTCAGAGAACATTTCAAAACAAGCTGGAGGCGTATTCTCGAAGATCATTCACATGAAAAGACTCGAGCATTTGACGAGCATCAAAGAGTAATTATGAATAGAGCTATTCATGAATGAAAACAAATACACACCAGATATTTAATAGGAGACTGGGTTTGAATCCATATTAATTCAGATTTTATTTCGTAGAACGATAGTTCAAACAACGAACGAACGTATCACATTAAGCAATCGGTAGGTAGGGAAAATGTTTTCGATGGCAAGCAGTGTACAGATTCGCTAATAAACATTTTTCTACGTAAGACCTATGACCTAATTGAACTGATCCCTACTGTCTATCTATTTTTAAATGCTTTGAATCCTATACTGAATTCTGTTCAAAGCAGCTGAATATATCCGAAATCTAATTTCATTAAACGAAGTAGTTTTATTACAGCTGCATTTCAGATTAAGTGAATTGAACTGTAAATACTGATTGCTATTGAAAATCCAAGAAAAAATTTGAATGTTAGATCCAGCTCGCTTCACCAGAAATAAATGGCTGCATAGTTTTTATAAAGCGGTTTTTTCGAATAATTGACCTTGAATTGATTACTTCCTTGATCCTATCACGCAATTAACAAAAAATCTAAACATAAAATCAATGAAAACTTGTCTACTGCGTTCATTCACCATATCGAATTCTTTAATGTTTCTCAAAATAGAATAGAGTTCACACCTATCATTGCAAAAATTTACAAGCAGCTAACAGGGTTCGAGAACACCAGTAGGCTATTTCTCACTCAATTGAAGAATACAGAAACTAATGAGTACGATTTCTGGAGAGTAAACAAAGAGCTGAATGACCTTCTCCGCTTGTACTGAACTCGTGTTTTCCTCGTTTTCACTCATATTTCAATTATATTATGGGGCAGACAGTCCTGCAGCCATTTTTCTCTTTCTTGGATATGAATCCTTTTATTTGTTGTCACTTTTAGAACATACATCTATGATGTTTCAAACACTATGTGTGACTGTTCTGTGTACCATTTTTGGTGAGTCTATCAATTAATCACCATTAAGTAGTGGAAAAACGTCATCTTTTAGGGCTTGTATCAGCTCAACGAATTAGCTGCAATATTTGTCAAGATCCACGTTTAGAATGCACAAAAACAACACAAGAAACCGGCTACCGTATATGTATGGTATGTACATATCCTTGACAATGGCTGGTAGAATCGAAAAAATATGCAATTTTTCAGACACTCACAACTACATGTACAGCGTCAGGTATCACCAGCTCTTATAGTATTTTATTAGGTGGTTCATCCAGATTTGCTTGCGGCACCAGCAAGCCGTCATCATCCAATTATGCTGGAACGACAGTGTCTTGTAACACTACGTATAGCTGTTGTGACACTCCTAATTGCAATCAATGCCCAAGTGGAGGATGTAATAGTGTCACTAATATGTTTAACAGAGGGTAGCATGATGGGTGACAGACAAATCGATCCTTCGACATTTGAACCGTGAACAGATGAGCCTCACAGCAGAGGTGATCAGTTCATACTTTTCAAAACATTATTAAATCAAGAAGTAATTTTTAAAAATTTATAATTAAAACAAAATCAGAACGTGTTGGTGTGAGTGTGGAATGCTCGTGTTGCTGTGATCCCATGTTAAGATTGGAGCGTCCATATGTCACTCTTAGGAGAATGCATGCGCAGTTCATACGGTACGGTTAAATCCTAGATCTCTCATCCATACTCACAAGACAGACAGTTGATCTGAATTTTTTGTTTTCCAAAGGTCTTTCTGTAGAAGTTAGGGTAGTGACGGCTAAGGGTTGCATTTCTCTCTGATTTTATTTTAAATCTTAATTTAAATCAAATTATATGTCAATTTACTAAGTTTTAAAGCATGCAAATTGATTATCATTGATCGAGACTCAGATTCTGATTGGATTAAATCTCGGAAATTTACCTATCTATGTACTATTTATGGTGTCGGCAAGAAAACTGGTGGTTGACTTAACTGTGAGGATTCAATTTATATCGCATGAACAGTGCGTCTTCTGTGTTTCTTTGCTATATTAAGACTCTATTAACTCAGAACATTCTTCTTATTTTATGTCACTGCATATTCGTCATTTGCTAGAAAATTACTGTGAGAATGCACTTTGGTTCCATGGGAGTATGATAAAAACAATGTTTGAAATGAAGTCTAATGCAAGGATTTGAAAATAAATCATAACTTGAAATTGTCTTCTATTTTTGTGTGTAATCTTCTGCTCCCGCAGTCGTTAGTATTAATAATTCAATGAAAAATCATAACTATCGATAATTTTACAAAAACGAGGAAGGGTCGTTTTTGTGTTCGTTTCCATGTATGATATCAGTAAACATCAGCGCAAATCATTTATTACTGAAATACAATATAAAATAATTCTAATACTAGTCTTGAATAAGAAACCGATTGTTCTACCGAATCAAAGAAAGGTAATTTAGGAATCAATGTCAATAATCATAAACAAATGTCTTCGCGCTGTCATTACAAGAAAGATAAATAAAATGTATCTATACGTACGCTGTCTAGGCATGCACCGGGCCCGAACTTTCAGGGTTCTACCATACCCGGACTTAGCTATTCACAAGTTCGGTATTCCCAGTACCGGCAATACCGGGTTTAGTCTTTCATATAGTTCCGTCAACAGTAATCAACAATCAGGCATACCGATACATAATTAGTTTGTGAAGATTTTATATCCGAGCAAGCAACTCACACAAATCATTATGGAATAATGTGGATGACGATAAATAATACAGTAAAATGAATTGTTATTTGCATTCTCCCTACACTGAAAAAAAAGGTACCATGCGGAACTTAAAAAAGGTTCCGAGATTTGCAATGAAATCGAAACCTTTTTCAGGTTTTGTTAAAATATAGTTTCGCATGAAACCGTTCGCAGTTAGTATTCCAAATATGGTGTGGGTGTGAGTATTCTCTTTAGAGTGATGTACACCAACACCTACACACCCACCAGTGGCGGGTCCAGAATTTTGGAAGGGGGTGCGATCATAGGCAAAAAACACAGTTTCAGGTGCATTTAAGGTAGTATGAACTTGTTTTTCGTTCGTCTTTATTCGGAAAAATCGAAAAAATTTTCTTGAAAGGGGGTGTGATCGCTTCGTCGCACCCTCCTAAATCACCACTGACACCCACATCTTATATTAACGATAAATAAAGTCTATTGGTAAGAAGAAGCAATTTATATCAACAATAGTTGACCATGTTGACTTCGTATTTATATTAAAAAACATAAGAAGTTATCCTATAAGAGAAATATTTATTCTTCAATTTCAAAATAATATTCTTTAATAATAATTATAGAACAAAAAAAAACTTCTTCATTTATAATAAAAAATAAAATCTAATTAAATTATATTAAAAACATTGAAGTAGAAGAATATTCAGTAGTGAATAAAAGTCTCGGTCCCAGGAGAAAACTATCTAAATAAGAGTTGTTTGATTTGAAACTTGTAGTAAAGATCAGAACTTAGCGAGTCATGATCATAGGCAAAAGCTCGAATCTTACTCCCTTACTGCGGTTAAGATATCAGATCAACATCTGAGATTTTTTTCTTATGTTATCTTGGGCTTCGAAAGCGATACAATGTCGATCGAACCACCGTTGAAAAGCTCCGCTCTTAGTCTCTCTTCAGTAAAATTTTCATTAGAAACTGACGCTTTTCCGTAAAGTTGTAGCCTATACATTGCTTATACACGGAATGGCATATTACAACCTTACCAGTATTTGATTCAAGTCTCCAGCTACGATCAGTCGTTCGACCTGAAAATTTTATTATAGACTTCATAAATATAAGCAGACAGGAGATTATCTTCGGATAAATTCATCATTATATTCGATTATATCCTACGATAAAATAGTCAATTTTTGTCGATAAGTTGTACTAAATAGACCAATCGTGTTCTGTTATAATTGGCTGACCTTGTCTTACTATTGACCTGTTTAGTGAAGAGTCGATGTTTATTGCTTTTCTTTTCTTTGTGACCTTTTCTCTTCGTATGAATATTCGTTTAATATAATTGTTGTCATAGTGACTCTGATTCATCAACGTTCTTGTCTCTCTTATAAAAATTCGTGTCCTATGTGTAGATGTATACAAGTGAATTATTGAAGGAGTATAGTCAACATCTATACTGTTAATGATGATACATTTGATCGTTCGTTGACTGTGTTCTATAAATATATTTCAATAAAAGAGACTCAATTATTTAAATAAATAATTTCAGTTAAGTTTTATTACAGTTTGATCTAGTAGTTGTTTTTTTTTGTTTGTTGATAAGTTTTGTTCGATTTAATAATTATTAAAATCGAATATAATTTACTGTAAATTAACTTTTGAATTCTTTCGAACTAAACAAAAATTTGTTTATTTTAAGTTAAAAAGTGAGTAATTATTAGAGACAATATATTCATCATATGAATTAATCACTTTTCTTTTAGGTAAGTTCTATTAATGAAAGTTCTTGAAAAAATCAAATTGTCTTTTGAGTCGAAACGTTGTCGATTGTATATTCTGAAAATAGATTCTACCATCATTTTCAATTATTGACTAAAAATGTTTAGATCGAAATTAATTTAAATAGTGTTATTGTCAATGTTAAATATCTAGTTCGTGTTGTTATGTTAATAATAGAACTTTTTATTAATGTGTGTGTTATTAATAGATAAATTTAATTGTAAAAAATGTCTAGATAATATTTGACTGGATATTATCTTGAATATAACAATTAAAGATTGATAAGAAAAATATTTCGATAAATTATTGAATTGATAAATTTTCCTGTTTGTTTTGTAAAATAGTACATCGAGATAAATGTACAAATTCCATTTTTATATTTCTATAAACAAATAAAATAATGTGATTATATATTGTTTTTAAATCAATAAAAAAGAATATTCTCATTTTAGATAATTATTTCATAAAATCAAATGAAAATAATTGGAATAATAAAAAGTATGCCTCGTCATATAAAATATTATCGTGATAAAAAAGATGAAGAAGATTCAATTGATTTATTAAATGATAATGATAAGAATAAAGATAAATTTCGAATAATAAATCGATTAAGTCGTCGAATATCATATTCATTTATAATTCGTTGTATAATATTAATACCATTATTTATTTATTTTTTAATTATATTAACTCCAATAAAAGATATTCAATCATTTATTCCTGAAGAAATAAAAAAAGCAAAAAATTTTCTTATTGTTGTTGCACATCCAGATGATGAATGTTTATTTTTTAGTCCAACTATATTAGGCTTAATATCTCGTGATAAAATAGCTCATGTACTTGTTTTATCAACAGGAAATAGTAATGGTTTAGGGTCAATTAGAGAAAAAGAATTAAAACAAAGTTGTCAACGATTAGATGTTAATTTATCCCAATGTACATCTTTAAACTTAACTGATTTACAAGATAATCCAAATCGTTGGTGGCCAAAAGAAAATATATCAGAATTAATTGATAAATATATAAAAGAATATAATATTGATTTATTAATAACATTTGATCATGGTGGAATATCTGGTCATCGAAATCATAAATCAATTGCATTTGGAGTTGAATATTATATTGAAAAATCTTTTAAAACACCATTAATATATGAAATTTCAACAGCTGCATTTTTATTTGAATTTTCTTCAATAATTGATTTATTTCGAACAACAATTAAATTTTTACCTCGATTATTTCGAAGTTTATTTTCAACAATATTTCCATTTATATTTTCTCCACCAAATGATCACCGTATTTTATTTGTAAGTTCACCATTTGGATATGTCAAAGGATTAAAAGCTTTTCATACTCATCGTTCGCAAATGCTTTGGTATAGACATATTTATACCACATTTAGTAGATATATGTTTATTAATGATTTGATTAAAGTTTCACATTATTCATAAATTCTAATTAAAATGATTCGAACAAACATCAACAACTTTTTTATTCATATTTGTTCCTTTTCTCTCCTGTTAAATCTTCTTTCTTCTTTGTTTTTATTACAATCAATTTTTTAATAGAATATTCTCTCTTTATTATAAAGAAGTTTTGTGCTTTTTTTAAATCGAATCAAAATTAGTTGTTTTTTTTTGTGAAATTTTATTTTGATTAAATGTTGACTAAATAAATATTGAGTTAATAATGTTGATGATGATCATTGAGTTCGTCAGTAGGTTGAAAAAAATGATTCACATTCTCGGAATCTGATATAAGGTCACTCGATCTGATCAAGAGAAAATTTATTTAAATCATTGAATAGGTTAATTGATCAAATTATACTGTTTTATTTTCCTAGGCGAAGTTTTTTTTATTCTTGACCTGCACACACCTGAAGATTTGTCCATAGCGCGTGACTTTCTTACTCAAGACAAGCGCTTCAGTGTTGCATGAAAATACACCTATGAATTTTTATTAAAAATTGAGTTATTTTGAAGGTAAAATTGCCAAAAAAAACTATAAATCATTCTTTAATAACAGAAGCTCTTCTATAAGAATTCAAACGCATGATCAGGAATATCAAGCGATAGAATAAGAAGTTCAACAGCTTGAGCTTGTCGAAAGGTCTTAAGTCTTGCCTTAAGATTTATCTATAGCGTATGACTTTCTTCATCAAGTATCTCCTACGCAGATCGAAAGAAGTTCATCTAGGGTTGTAACCTGTTCGTTTTAAAGATTTTCTTGTTATAGAATAAAAAAAAAAGAAGCAGTTTCTTCGATGCACCCATGAATGTATACAATCTGTGAACTGTTATAAGAGAAAGTTGCTCAGCAACTGATGAGTATAAAGCAGACATGTTTTTATGTTATTCTTCTAGGGACTTCTCTCTAGTGAGATAATCCATTGTTGACAAATGAAACATTATATTTTTTTTTTATTAAGTTAATATTTAACTGCAAAAGTGAAACATAGCACAAATTTCCATAATTCTCAATTGAAATTACTCGAGAGATTAGGGTGTGGGTGGGTGTAGGTGTGAGAGTGAAGAGAAGAGTCTCATATCCTCACTCCCACACTCACCCTTATGTTGATTCAGAAGTTTTTCATATTAATGATCGATCAAATCGTTAAAAACGACATTCCATACAATGACGAATAGCTGTTGTCATTGCTACGAAAAAACAAAACATATTTCAAAGAAATTTTCTAATAACTTTTCATTACTTAAACGAAGATATTGTCTTAAACATTCTTCCATTTGGTATAGCTTTTTCTTGTTCAAGTTCAGAAAAATTTGAACTATTTCCAAGAATAAATAAATCTGCTAAACTCATAACACATTTTAATATTTTAATTGCGTTAAATGGTGATAAACCTTCTGTATTTTCTAATATTTCAATTTCATGCTGTAAAAAATACACACAAACAAAAGAATAAAATTTATAGAAATTATAAAAATTAATTTTACTGATGCTGATATTACACTAGCAAGTAATGGTAAAAGACCACCACATGCATTACAGAAAACTTCAAACATTTGAGATATAATATGTAGAACATGAGTACAATATATTTAATGATCTGAATGATTAATAAAGTCAATTATTGGTTTAGTTGATTCACTAGAAAGCAAAAAAAAACAAAACTTTATTTTAGAATTTGGTTTTGTTTTTAAGACGTACGATTTCTATGAACGAACACCTGTTTCCATTGAATCGAAAACACTATATAATAGACGTATATGCATTGGAGAATATTTAAATTCAGAAATTGTATATAGTGGTAATTGATTGTTTTTATTGAATACTTGACGATTAGAAGTTGATTCTTAATAGAAGAAAATATATGCATCATTTAGCTGAAGACAATCTTGACGAAAACCATCATTCGTATGAATGGATCTCAAACTCTTGAGATACCTTTATGTGCTGAACGATATTTATTTGAACACACTAATCAGAAACCATCACTTCACTTTATTAACTAATTGGTAACTAGAGATCGGCAAGTTCACTTCTGACAAACTGATATATCTGAACAATTTTGTTTTATACTTATGCACATCATGCAGATATTAATAAGTTTAGAGAGCATTGGAAAGAGTTTGGGTATTTAATGTATTACTGCGGAAATATTGATTTTTGAATTTCAACTTAAAATTTTGCATAGAGACAGACGTTAATGTAAGTACGGCATTATCATCGTCATATCTTACGATAGAAACAAAGACAATATCTGAAAATTTCACAATGAGTTGTTCTGGCTAATGCCTATCTTTATGCAAAATTTCAAGTTGAAAATCAATATTTCTGATGTTTCTAATAGACCACAATATTAACTTAAAAGAGGCTATAAAAAATGCAGCATCTTCACAGTAATAAATTAAGCACTAGAACTCTGTTTCAAATATTCATAGCCCATTAGGACTTGCATAATGCCGACTCAAAACCGATCAATCAGTTGAAGAGTTTTCTTCGTCAGTTCGAACAACTGAACTTTGAACTAGAAACCGATTGACTATGAAAACTATCGAGATGTGCAATCAAATATTATTTTATATCTTGGTTATAGATGTGAGTCGATGCATTGAACAGAGAAAACCATGGTAGAGAACTTTTTCTCTCGCGACGACTAATAAAAACACTCTTCCTTTTTCTTCTGAATATATATTTGAAATCTTGTTATTTTAAGGTTTCAGTTTAATCGTACTATCGATTATTAAAATACCAGTCAAGGGTGTGGGTATGGGTGGGTGGGGTGTGGAAGAATGTAGATGTTCCCGTTTTCGTCTCTAACACTCATACCCACACCCCTTCATTGCATATGTTATTGCACAACGCATGAGTCATTATTTAGTCGATTTACTACTGTTTTTCAGTTCTGTACGTCGAAAAAATGAAGATGCTCAAATAAAAGTGTTTTCCTTTCGATGTACAGAAGTGAAATACAATAGTAAATCGACTAAACAATGACTCATGCATTGTGCAATAACATGTGTCAGCAAAATACGTAGTAAATACTTCTTATTTTTACATTTAGCAGCAACAACACCACATGATGTTCTCGTCGTCTACCTTCGAGATACTACCCAATGAAATTTTGATGATGATTATACGATATTCTGGCCACGCTTTCACTATATATCGAACATTTTCTGGCTTAAATCAACGTCTGAATAATATACTTGCCGATAAACGTTTGCATCTATTCACTGACTTTTTTTTATACACGAACGTCGGTAATGCAGATGTTAACTATTATTACAATTCTGATTCGTTCCACATGGTATCTCAACGGTTCTCGTCTCTGACGGCAACTGAAAATGACAAACAACATCGTCAATGTCTTCAATCGTTAGTTTCTTCTTATATAAAAGAAAAATACAATCAATCGAGACATCTGTTTCAATCAAATATACAACAGTTTCAAAAGATACGTACGGATCTCACTTATGCTGAGATTTGTAACCTCGATAATATGTTGAAGGAAGCATTCAGTGATTTACGATCTACACTGTGCCCAGTGTGTAGGTACTGTCGAGAGGAGCCACAGTTCGATTCCAAATCTATCATGAATATGAAACGAATTGAGTTGCTTGTTCTTACTAAAGGTGATTGTCTGGAATGTGATGACAACGATTGGTCTGAATTCAATTTAGCTAGAGCCGTGCAGCAATTCTTACTGATGAACGTCTAGGAATGTTAAATATGCCCCTCAACGATTTATCAATCCTCTCATTAGAATGTTCAAAGCGTTAATTATTTCGAATCCGATGCTTGTCAAAAATAAAGCTGAGGCTAGCAATGGACATCATCTTTTTCTTCACTATTTTCTATTATACTCCATCTATCGATTACAATACTTATATTGTTATTAACCATACGCCTTTATCTATATACAATAGTATCAGGCTGCGCTAGATTTACTTCTCTTTGTTATACAATGTCTGAACCAAGTACTCAGTGAGATACTTTGGACGGAGGATAGTTTTTTTGGAATATCAAGCATGATTACTTTGACTGAACCTTTCACTGATCGTGACGTATTTATTCATACCGGTCAAATGGAAATATTGAGAATTATAATTCATGAAGATAGTCTAAAAGACGCAGTACATTGGGACGAAGATAATATCGTTCAATGCATTCTATGCAATTTAATCAAGAACGATCGACTGGATATGATATGATTGATTTATACTGACGATGAGTGGACATGGACTATATTTCAAGCGTCTTGGAATAATCGTAAATATATCAAAATTATGACAGGAAATCAAAAGAAAAGGCAATTGCTGTATGCAATCTTCGATGAGAAACAATTGGGAACGTGGTTAACAAACACAGACCTGTTGTTTATTCTATTACAAAAGAAAGAATGCAAACTTGTGAAAAAACTATTGAAATTATCACCATCACTCGTCCATCGATTAGACAACAATGGCAATGATCTGCTACTTTATGTTTGTCTCAATGTGCGCAGTTGTCGACATCGCCTAGTCGAATTTTTAATCGAGATGGCATGTGATTTACAAAGAAGAAATTCGAACGCTAAACATTTTATTGATGTACTACAATTGAAGCAAAATAGAAAACTATTGGAAAAATTAATCGAACGAGGGACTATCCAAATTGACAATGTTTCTAAAGCGATGGAAGTTATTTTAGCTAATTGATCGCAATGATATCGATATCTCTTATTAACAAGGAAACGTTTTTCATGTCTACCAGAGTTGCAGAATCTGCCGTTAAAATGAAAAATTTCACAGAACGACGAAACCTTTTACGAAAGGTTTCCTTGCAATAAACATTTAATTGAAGATTCTTTTGGAAAATTGTAGAATTTTTCTCTGAGTTGGAAAAAGAAAACAGATGGGTGTGGGTATAGATTTGGGGTGTGGATGCAAAAAAGATTAACCTTCGTATTCACAGTCACACTCATTAAATCTTTTGTAAAACAATAAGTGAACGAGATCAAACCAATACGAAAGTCTTTTACGTTACAGTCGTATACCAGAGATATCTACGTTTGTCTTTCTTTATCACCCTGATTGAGATCCAGATAAGATTATGAGAAACATTGAATTAATATTCTTTATATGGAACAAAATCATTGAACTTAAGAGCAACAGTAAACAATTATTTTAAGATCACTCATGTGTTACCTCGGCTGAAAATCTATGAGAAGAAATATGATTTTGTGAAAAAATCATTTTACTTTAAACAAGAGAAGTTTGCAACGATATCTCTATATAGGAGCGTAGTATTACAATGATCAGGATGAATACACCGCTGCGACAATAAAATATCGATCAAGAAACATGATATCCAATACTGAAGGGTGAGGTGTAGGTGTCGGTGTGGATGTTGTCGAAGCGAAGATCTATACCCTGAGCCATACCCACACGCCCACACCCACCCACCCTCGAAATCAGTTGAGAATGTTCCCTTGTAAAACTTGATGAATGAAAGATCATTTATTACAATAAGTCAAAGAAACAAACATATGAGGTATTCACTAATATTAGCAAACCCATTTTAGGAGCGAATTAGTCTTCTATCTGTCTAAAAATTAGTTGACGAGCTTGAATTAAATTGGTCTCTATGATGTTATATTATGCTTCGACGAGTATACGCAACAAAATAAGTTATTAAGGAAGTATGTTGAGTTGATAGGTAGTAATAGCAGTATCACATGCCTTCATTCAGCATACTGTTCTCTTTCTTCTCTTTACTTTCTATCGTCTGAATGCAAAACATAAAAGAGAACGAATCTTGTTTTTCTTTCATCATTTATACTAGAAGAAAAATATTTTTCATGTCGTCTTCCACATCGTCAAAAACACCATGTGCCACGTGCGGCAATAAAGGTGTTGGTATTTTCAAATGTGAAGGATGTGCAGATATATTTTGTCGAAAGCATGTTAATGAACATCGAAACATGCTTAATCATCAATTAGATGTAATTGTTCTCGAACATGATGCTGTACAACAAATGGTTGCTGATCAGAGCATCGAAGAAAAAAATCATGATTATCTTCTTAAGCAAATTAACAAATGGGAACAAGATTCAATTATCAAAATTCAACAAGCAGCAGAAGAAATACGACAACAGGTAAAAAAATTGATTAGTTCACATACAGGTAAATAGAAATGAAATTATAGATTTGTTTGTCAGTAATAATAATGTGTATGTTAAGGTAAGGTATCAAAAGAATTGTATGATCTTTCTGAACGATTACGAAAAGCTCGAATCGATGATGACTATGTTGAAAGTGATCTTTGTACGTGGACAACTATGTTAGAAAAATTAAAGCATGATCTTATTACTATTTCTCCTTTAATTAATATTTATGAAGATCCAACAAAAATTCTTGTCGCCAAAATGTGTATCTCTGAAACAGAACTACATATAAAACAGAATGAAAAATTTGGAGAATCACTTGGTAATATTCGTATTGAGGAGAATGGTTGTGTCGCTATACATATTGGTTCAAGGAGAGGTGACGCATTTGTACGTGGAATATGTGAATATTCATTGGGCAAACATAATATTCGATTATTGGTAAAGAAAAAAACAACAGCATACTATTGCTTCTTTGGCATAATATCAAAAGCAAAATCAATCCCACAGAATGAAACTGACATGAAAATATCAACATATGGTTGGCGCAGTGATGACAAAACAATCCCTCTTTACGCTGACTCACGAACTAGTAAAGATTTTCTGGATATGAGATGTCAAACGTTGTTTGAAATTGAACTTTTGCTTGATTGTGACAATCGAAAAATCATCTATATCAATCAACAAACCGAAAATGCGAGAGAAATGAAAGTTGACGTTACAATATGTCCATTTCCTTGGCAATTGCTATTTTATCTACATGCTGCCGAAGATTGTATTCAATTGATTTCTCCAAGTCAACAAGTATAAACATAGATGTTATAATTTATAATCAACAGTCGAAAAATATTTCCAATCGAGAATATGCAAATTAATAGTAGTATGTCACAGTTAAGAGTGAAATAATAAAGGTCCAAATTAGACAAGCAACAAAATATGAGATAACGGATTTAGTAGGCGTTTTCTCATATTGGAAACTTTGATGACAATAATATTAGCAATTTTCCTTTTGAACAGTACGTTATTTGTGTTCGTCTTTAAGAGATATAAGAAAAGAATTTAGATAAATTTTTGAAAGATTTCGTCAATTGTATGATATCTTGGTAAAAAATGATAAAAATAAAAGTTAATAATGCTTTTTCAGCGATTATTCCTCAAGAACTTTAATAACCGAACGGGTTTGGTCTGCTGTGCATTGAGCAAAACTGATCAAACAAGACACGTAGTCTATATATGAAATCTCCAAGAGACTAACTGTTTTTGTTGCTAGGCTACTATCTTGTCTTGCTTATTTTGGTCGATAAATGTCGCACTACTGAATACAAAACAATTTTGTGTCATTCACTAGAGAGAAAGTATATGCAGCGTAGCGCAGTAGTAGCGCGTTGAGCTCATAACTCGAAGGTCAATCGATCAAAACTACTCGCTGTGTGATTGCCTTTTTTTCTTCAATAGTCGATGACAAAAATTAGTAAAAGCATTAAAATATAAATAAAAACTATATGCAAGTCATGCATCGATATCCATCAAAAACATAATAAAATTAAATTATAATTACACCAACCTATTATTAAAAATATTCACACGTGTTTATCTGAAGGAAAACATGAAAATGTCAAATAACGAAGAGACTAGCATCAACTAACAGTAATGAAAACTAATCTTCAATCACACATGAAATGTTACATTTGTTCATATCGAGTAACATTAAGAAAAAATTTATGAAAATAATACAAATAAATGATTAAATCTAAAGTTATATCAACAAAATTATTCAATTGATCAAAATGTATGATAATCAAAGCGTAATTGCTTCGTATGGAACATATGAATCGGTTTTTTCCCATTGAATTTTGTTATTGCTTAAAGACATTGCAATGTGTTTTTTTCCATTCTTTTCACACCTTCGCATTGCAAATAAAAACACGTGCATCAAATTTTGTTAACATTTCAGATTTTGTTTTTATTCTTATCGCTTTTATGAAATTTTTTTAGCAAACAATCAGAATTCGAATATAGTTGGAATTTTATGAGAATATTCCTTTCGTAATTCTTACTTAACTCTGATGTGCACTTTAAGTGGTCACATAAAAAACACAACCCTTTATGCTTATTACCCAATGTCTGTCACATTGGCAATTTAAAAAAAGAAATTTCTTCCTATATGTGCACTTGCTTCTATCAACAAAACAGAAACAAAATATCGTAACCCTTCTTTTCGTAAAAAGAAAGCACTTTTTTTATTCTCATGGCTTCTATAACTTCAAACACACCTTGCTTTACATGTGGTAAAGGTGCTGGACTATTTAAATGTGAAGGATGTACACAAACATTTTGTACAAAACATGTTGCAGAACACCGACAAATATTATATCATCAACTTAATGAAATAAATATCGAACATGATTGTCTTCAAGAAAACATCATTGGAAAAGGTTCAACAAATAGGTCAAGGGACTCGTCAAAAAATTGTAGAACTTCCAAATATAGATAAGAGTGAATTCTTTCAAGAAAATTCTGATCGTGAAGTGTAGATTTATTTGTTCATAGGTACAATATCAAAGAAAGCTAAATCTTCTTACTGAACGAATCAAAAAGGCACGTAAAGAAGATGATTTTTTTGAAATAGCTCTTCAAAAATTGGATATCAACTTTGGACAGACTGAAACACGAAATGCTAAATCTAACATTATCAAACAGTATTTTAGAAGATCAATCAACATCGTTCGTATACAAGCTTAAACTGATTACAACATCTTCTGAATTTGATGATAAAAGTATATTTAAAAATCCTCAGATAGAGTGAACGGTTACAACGTCTGAATATGTCTTTGAGTGTTGCCTTGGTAGTGTTAAAATTGAAGATAATGGTCGACTTATCGCACACAACAGATCTAGTTGACCTGCAAATGTTCGTGGAAAAGTCGGGTATTCATCTGGTACGTATCGATTTCGTTTGTAAATTGAGAAAAATCTGTCAAGAACGTGGATCTTCTTTGGTATTATCTCGAAATCGATACCCATGAAATATAATTTACATTTCTCTTCCTCTGCATATGGATGGACAGATTACAATGACTATTTTCTTGGTGATGTTCGTCAAAACAAGCAAACTACTGGTCAATTTCATCAGAAAATTAAAAATTATATAATCGCACTTATATTCGATTGTACATATTGAAAGATTTATTATACAAATGAGCGAAATCAGAAAAGTCAACAATTAGGGGTGTGGGTGTGGGTGGCGTGTGGCTTTGGGTGTGGATGGATGTGGGTATGTAGGATGAGGGGTGGTGTGTGAAATGGCCTCAGTTACGGTTTACGTTTTGATCCTCATTCATGGCCTGATGCAAATGAATGCCAACGGAAGCCCACCCACACACCCACACCTAAACCCCACGCTGCTTGAGTACTGGTTCGATGCTCCGGAATCGTTTTTTCAGTCGGAAACTGAACAGAAGTGTAATGAAAGAGTTGATGGTCTTCGCGATGTTTGGCACAGTATCGCAGATAGAAACGAAGAGCTTCTCAGTGATTCCACCGATTGTTTTGTATGGTTTACTCATTATCAGTTCGACACATTTCGCCGTCACCTTATTGGTTCGGTACGTCTTTGAGCAAGATATGTTGATCATCATGGCTCACCACGGTTATTTTACAACAACGATATTGATTGTTCTAATCGTGTGCTGAATAACGATGCCCGTTTCGAGTTACAGTCTCTGTCTCGTATTATACGCATAATAGACAATCGAATTACGATGGGAAAAAATGAATCCGTTCGCGTTCTTTATAACGCCGGGGAGTTTGAAATCGTTGCGCCGTATACTAGATAGCTTTAATAATTTAGAATTTCAAAGCACGCTATGTTGTTTAGGTTCATCCATAATCCTCACAACTGGGCATGTAAATCTACACTACAACGCGCGGCAATTATTGCTGCGTATTATGCTTACGAACCTCCCCAGCCTCAAGCAATGGCTGAAGTTAACGTTCCGCCCAGGGTAGGGAGAAAGCCTCGCAAAAGAAGTATGCGTGGGTCTACTACGACTCGAAAATCTAGCACAAAAAGAATACATGGACCAAGTACAAACCGAAACAAAAAATAGACCACGTTTGCGAACACGCTTTTTATATATCGCTTTGGTCACATAATAATCCATGTGGACATGGAATAAAAAAGAAAAAGTATTAGTAATAATAGTATCAAAGTGAGCATTCTCTCTTTAGTACTCTCATTCCTGTAATAATTTCTTTATTCCCTGGAGCATTCCAGATTGGTACATCAAAGAAAGAGGTGGGAAGTGGAGAAATATAACATATATACGAGTACGATAGATCCAAAGTTGAAACACAACAAAAATAAGCGCTTCAGCAACCAAGCAAGGCGGAGATATGATGTTGATAATAGTTTAGATGATACTTTATACTGGCAGATACGATAATTGACAATAGAGATTTATTCGACCCGTTCATACGAGCTATATGCAAAATTCAATTATGATGTTTAAATTTGAAAAAATACATTACTTCTATTTTGCTTAAGTTGGAATATAAAAGCATAAGATTTTGGATATATGCATAAATTAAGCCATTCTACTCACTCGTAAAAGGCATGTGGGTTCGTCAATTGAAAAGTACATTGTATATTAGAAGTCATTGTTATGTGCAATCATGTAGAATATTTGTCGACGTTCATAGAATCAGTCCGACAAGCTCGATTTACTGATGGTATCAGTTTGTGATTCTACAGAGTTTATGGATATGTACGGCTATTACAAATAACTCAATTTTTTAAACTCAACCTTCAAGCTACCCCATCTCTTGAGAGAAACTTGTTTCAAAACCATGATTTTCTTCAAGAAAAAGATTGTTGAGAGTATCTTATTGAGCAAAAGGAAGAATTTGTATGGTTAAAACTTTTAGCTACGACAGAACTGTATAAGATCTAGCTCCAATGAAAATTTCGGATCTCTATTTTATTCCAATCGTGAATTATGAAGTATCAAAATAACTGAAAATGCGGATTTTTGCTCATAGTGGATGATTCATAAAACCTTAACAGCTCAATATTTTGAATTGAAAATTCTATTCTAAGTAGAACTCTTAGAGATATATGTTCATAAAAAATTTCAGCTTAATCGATCGAGCTGTTCTTGAGATATTGTTCCGTCAAGACCCCCGTTGGTCGAAATGTATGCCTTAGGACTTTTAGTAAAACATCCATAAAAAAATCGAACGTTCAATATTTTTCAAAATAGCTTATGCCAAAATTCATAAAACTACTCAATCACATTCGATAGATTTTGTTCAATTCAACATATGTTTAGAGGGAGTAGTTTTATGAATTTTGGCATAAGCCATTTTGAAAAATATTGAACGTTCGATGTTTTTATGGATGTTTTACTAAAAGTCCTAAGGCATACATTTCGACCAACGGGGTCTTGACGGAACAANAATTATGAATGAAAGCTGTGATACAAAATGAATAGTTCGTTCTTAACTATTACATCATTCGTATATTTTTCGATAAAGGTAAATGTGGGAAACAATAGCGAGTCAGAAAGAAATAAACAAACTCGTCATAGTTCTGGTTGATTACTTTATCTTTTGTTAAAAAAATGATAAATGTACATATGCGCGATTACAATGAAAAAGTAATACACCTGCATGTCTATTTTGAATACAAATTACGTGTTTTTTTCTTTTGAATCGAATTTACGTCATACTCTAATGAGGTATGAACATAATATTCAAGCGAAACATCAAGAAAAACAATTATGCAAACATATATAAAATAAAATGAACTTAAACATACAATTAATATGTCTAAAGAAATGTAAAAGTAATTCGAAAACTATGTAATGAGATTAAAAATAAGAGAATCAAGTCAATTAATATCATGTAAATCATTAGAAATATAAGTCGAACGAAGTTTTCGAAGCTATACCTTGTATCAAAGTGATTCCAGCTTTTTATCTAGTCTGAAATGAATAACTGATTTTTATTTCCATATTCCTGCGACAGAAGAAAGGGTCATACGAAATAAAATAACTTTGTGTGTGGCCGCGTTTGCAGCCACATGTACACATTTGTAGTCATGACCATATTCTAACAGAATGGAGCAAATGTAACCGGGTTGGTGGATTCAAATCTGGGATCGGTTTTTCAATTCGAACTTGCATTGCTCACAAAATGAACCGATCAGAAGCAAGCTTTTCCCCTTACCTCATGAGAGATTCATATGAAATAAATTGAGTTTGTGATCTGGCAGTCATTGAGAGAGTAACGCATTCAGATGTGTTAGCGTGATTACAGGTTCAATAATCTAAGTAACATCAAATATATATGAAGTTTCTTCAGGCTGACAGAGTGTGGATGTGAGTGTCAGGTATGTGTCAAGGAAAGAAGAATACCATTTACACTCAGGCACTCACACCCTCACCCTTTTTTAATAAGTTTTGATAGGAACAAGATCGAGAGCTGCGGTTTTCACCGTTTGAAAGAGCAGCATCGGAGCCATCGATCAGTATAGAACACATTAAGACGAAATACGCTGTTTCATAGGTAGCTTTGAATGAACACTTTTTCCTTTGGGTGTGGGTGTGGGTGGGTGTGGGTGTGAGATGTACGCGAAGAGAGATCCAAACCCACAGCAACACCCACACCCACACCCACACCCACACTCATAGCCACACCCACACCTCACACCCACACTCACACCCACACCCCACACCCACATCCACATCCACCCACACCCTCCCACATCCACACCCACACCCCACACCCACACCCACACCCACACCCACACCCTTACGTGTAATAACACCGTCTTTCATTACGAACACATCAGATACGGTGACAATTCAACCAAAGAAACATGCCTCATCGAAATCAATGACTTCATCGAAAAATGTGTCTATTATCAATCATCAAAAAACACTAGTTTCTATTTTCGTTTTCCCACACTGTGTCACCCTTCTTGAATGAATCACTACCGGTAGTTTAAGAAAATGGAACATCTTTGTCTACACAAAAATGCACATGTGTCAACTTTAAAACCATTATTCATTTTCTGAAGTGCTTCTCTCAATGACTAACACCGATCTAATCTCCGCCGATATTTCCACAAATTCATTAAACTTTCCACATGGACACCCATCAATTAAGTTCCTTAAGTATAAAAATTGTTATAGTTTTAAACCACAATTACTATTTCTCTATAGAAGGACATAGTTTTCGATCGATTAAAATCGATTAGATTTCGCATCAATTGCTTTAGATTTCATAAAACCAATCAATTTTAATCGATTACTAGCTTTAATCGATTTTAATCGATTAGATTTTTAATCGATTTTTTTTTAATTTTCTTACAATAATCGATTTTTAGCTATGTTAAATGGATTATAATCGATTTTTTAGACATATTTAATCAAAATTGCTACTTTTAATCGATTTTTACCGATTATTCTCTGAAAAATCGATTTAAATCAGATTTTTAAGCTGTTTTTTTACATGGGATATCCACCACCATTAAAATTTAATCCAGAAGTTAAATTATTTTCAATAAATGATATGGAATGGCCACATGATTTAGCAAATGTTCCACTGCCAGCACTTATTGATTCAAATCGAAATGATTGTATTCATTTTAATTCAGGTTTAAGAACCATTTCGTGTGCGATATCATTCAAAGATTATTTGCGAGTTTTAGGAGAAGACAATTATCTTATTTGTGATATTTCAAAATGAGAGAAAAAACAAAGAAAAAAAAGTTTTTCGTTCTTTGTGATTAGACATTATAAAAGTGTAAATTTAATATAGATGAATTATGATTAGATATTTCAATTCTAGTTAATTTATCTTCTAGAATTGGATGATAATTTGGGTGTGGGCGTGGGTATAGGTGGGTGTGAGTGAGTACTTCTATTTCCTACTGACACAAACAGATTCACACCCTCAACATATGATTGGCCCAATGATGACAAAACAATCCCTCTTCACGCTGACTCACAAACTAGTAAAGATTTTCTGGATATGAGATGTCAAACTATGTTTGAAATTGAACTTTTGCTTGATTGTGACGATCAAAAAATCATCTATATCAATCAACAAGCCAAAAATACAAGAGAAATGAAAGTTGACGTTACAATATATCCATTTCCTTGGCAATAGCTATTTTATCTACATGCTGTCGAAGATTGTATTCAATTGATTTCTATAAGTCGACAAGTATAAACATAGATGTTATAATTTATAATCAACAGCCGAAAAAAAAATATACAATCGAGAATATACAAATTAATAGTAGTGTGTCACAGTTAAGAGTGAAATAATAAAGGTTCAAATTAAAATTGTGTTCGTCTTTTAAGAGATATAAGAAAAGAATTTATATCAATTTTTTGAAAGAATCCATCAATTGTGTCATATCTTTGTGAAAAAGGATAAGAAAAGTTAATAAGACTCTTTCACTGATCATTGTTCAAGAAATTTAATAACCGAACGAATTTTGTCTGCTGTGCATTGAGCAAAACTGATCAAACAAGATACGTACTCTAAATATGAAATCTTCAAGAGACTAATTGTCTTTTTTGCAAAGCTACTCTTGTCTTGTTCATTTTGGTCGATAAATGTTGCGCTACTGAAGATAAAACAATTTTCTGTCATTCACTAGAGAGAAAGTATATGCAGCGTGGCGCAGTAGTAGCGCGTTGAGCTCATAACTTGAAGGTCAGTAAATCAAAACTACTCGTTGCTATGTTTCATTTTTGCAATTTCTTCTTGAAATTGCACAATGAATTACAATTTTTCATGTCCTATACGAAAACATGATAAAAAGTGGAATTGAGTTTACCGAATTTATTCTGATTGAAAAATCATTCAAGTAGAAGTGTCATTGCCTTTTTTTCTTCAATAACCGATTACAAAAATTAGTAATAGCATAAAAATATAAATAAAAACTATATACAAGTCATGCATCGATATCTATCAAAAGCATAATAAAATTAAATCATAATTACACAAACCTGTTATTAAAAATATTCACATGTGTTTACTTGGAGAAAAACATGAAAATATCAAATGATGAAGAGACTAGAATTAACAAACAGTAATGAAAAATAATCTTCAATCACACATGAAATGTTACATTTGTTCATATGGAGTAACATTAAGAAAAAATTTATGAAAATAATACAAATAAATGATTGAATCTGAAAGTATTTCAACAAAGTTATTCAATTGATCAAATTGTATGATAATCAAAGCGTAATTGCTTCGTATGGGACATATGAATCGTTTTTTTCCCATTGAATATTGTTATTGCCTAAAGAGATTGCAATGTGAAGAAGGTGTGAACAGAATTGAAGAGAGCACATTGGAATGTCGTTGGTCAGTGTCGAGNACAGTATTTGTATGTATATAAGCACCAGCATCAAAGAATATAATCTTGTTTGCCGCATAAGTATCAATAATTCTTTGAATAGTCGCAGTATCGTCCGTCATTCCATCGCCTTTAGCACCTAGACTTTTCACTGTCACAAATTGGTTAACTGAATATTCTAAATACTCAGGTCTTGAGTATTCCAGAAATTTTGATCCTTCCATTAATAAAGCAGATTTATTTGGTGGAGGAAGCAGGCCCCTAATGAACGTATAGTTCCTAGAAGAAGGCGTGTAAACATGACCTTGTCCCCATGAATTGATTCGTTGGTTACCCTGTAAAATAACTTCACCGACTAGGCTTTGAACTGCAACTGGAGTCTTGTCAAAATGAACATTATCCAACAGTATTTGCCCGGCACTTGGAGGCATAGATTGTGCGTTAGCAGAAGTGATAATTCCTATTCTAGTATTGTAAAAATGAGAATCCAAGATTGTGAGTCCACCAACCGTCTCACTCTGTCCTGGTTGCACAGACATATCAATACCTATGCCACAATTATTAATTGAAATGGATTTATACAACCAATTCCAATTCCATATTTGACGGATGGCAGTTTGACACTCAAAAAATGCCATATTTCTCGAAGTAAACTGTTGATTGCCTAAGAAAGCACAGATTTGTCCACCATAGAATGTCAGATCACTCATAAAACCACCACTTCCACTCTCAATCCACAATCCTCGATGTTGTGTCCTTTCTTCTCTTGACATTTCGATGACAAGATTCTGTAAAGCCGTTGCCTGTCCTACTGGCCAATGAACACCACTAACACTACGATTCGGATGAATTCTTGTCATGTCCACTCGCAAATTTCTAATCTCTCGGAAGAAATTATTCGTAGAACCCCAAGTAAGTTCTCCAGTAGCCTTATATGGATTACCGTCAAGTACGTAGTCTGCATTGAAACTTTCTGAACATTTGATTGTTGGCAATCGATTTCGGTATGGACTGCCAACTAATTGTGTATAGTAGTCGATTTTGAGACTTGTACTAATTAAATACGTACCGTAAGGAAAATAAACGAGACCAGGTTCTGACGTAGATCCTTCGCATGCTAAAGACGATGAACATCGATTATTGCTTGAGATTGCGTTTTGTATGGCTACAGTATCATCAGTTATACCATCTCCTTTTGCACCGAAGTCTTTCACATTTCTGTAAACGTTGTAATTCGACACTTGAGAGAACGGATTTGATCCATTGGTTACTAACAGTTCACGCCAGAATTGGGATGGATAGTCAGGAATAATATGTGTGGGATATTCACGTAATGTACACGATGAATTTGACGCTGAAAGAATAAGAATATAATTACATGAAATTATATGTTAGCAGAATGTAGGATTATATATTGAACATGGATTTATCACGATTCTATCATTGAAAAAATGCTTACATTTAATATTCTGATGATAGACTATGCCTAAATGATTTCGCAACGAATATATTATTATTCATTTAATTGTTGTTGTCAAAACGACATCGACAAGACTATACTCATGTGTGTCATTCCATAATTGATGACTATTTGAGCTTCAGATGAATAATTTGCTATCTTTGTCAAGAAGATCCGAAAACTATAACTTGATATTTTTATGCATTTCAAACTTTAAAGTTGTGCTCAATTCATGCTTGAATGAAGAACATTAATTGTTAAAATAGAAGTTCATGTTCAAGTTTGAGATTACCTTTTTTGAATCTCATTAAGTACTGTGGTATCCATCTACTATGATGTCGTCTCAATTCTGTTCGTTTATAGATACCTATTATTTGTTGATCATTGCTCTTATTACGTTCAATGCCGTACAAAACTGCTAATACAATTGTGGTTATGAGGCCAAGACCAGCGATAACACCGAAAACCATAGATAATGGTGCAACAGACTTCTTGTATCTTGATGACGACCTAGAACAATGGAAAAATAAATGTATTCTTTTTTTTAATCAATTCATGTTTGCATAGTCGTTTAATTGTATGCTTACTCATTAGTAGAGATATTATATACCGTGTTCTGTGGTGAGATGGTAGTCATATCCATTGATTGAATCTAAATGCTTCACATGTATACACTGAGAAAAGCAGATATTAATGTATGAAGACTAGTTAGTATTAAATATCTCTTCACTTCGTTTTTTTATTAGAGTCTGGTTGCAAAAAATATTTATTGCCTAGATTCAGAGTTAGACAATCAAATGCACGTTGGTACGGGTCCGAATCAACTTGCCGACAAAAACAGAAAGTCAAAAAATTTGAAATTTGTTCAAAATACTACATCTGAAATCATATTCTACAAGCAGACAAATCTGAAGTTCTGAAGACCTGCATTCAAATGAAGGAACTGACTCAAATTAGCAACGATCAAGCTGGACATATCGTAACAAATGTCATTGCTACACCATCACGTGAAATACAGCCGTGTTCATCAGAGAAAGATGCTATTGCCCTTGTCTATGTAAATATTCATCCTCTGTCCATGTAGTACTTATTCATACATCTTCTCGTGATGTACCTTAGAAACTACTAGATGCAGAAGGCTAAGGTATGAACAAACTTTGTTGGCAATGTGAACGTGACCCGTTGGTATTTCGCGTATTATGCGTATAGTACACAATGTGTTTTATCGCAATATGTTACTATAACTTCTTGTTGTAGAGAGTAATTATTTGATGAATCGTAAGGATTATCTTGACTCTCATATGTTTTATCATACTCTTCTTTTCTCATTTCCATGTCTAACTTTCTCTCGATGCACATAACGAAAAAAAAAGTGTCTTGAGCTATCAGATTCTATTCGAATTCATCGAGCGTGCAACTGTAGTAAACTATTTATCTATTAGCCATAAAGATCTTAACTAGAACTATGATATTTACTTTACTGCCATGAGGTACACTATGATGAATATACTAACTATTACTAACACATCAATTTGTTATATTTCTACTGAAAAATTTACTATTATCAAGATTATTGTTGCTGAAACAATGACATACTACGAATATCGTCCATGTATTTACTATAGATGGACCAACTTAACTCAAACTGATTCACATAAATACGAGTGTGTGTACACTGAAAACAACAAAGGGTTCATAGTATTATACGAGACCAAAAACAGGGTTTCGAATTCATTGGAAACTGAAACTTTTTTGTTTTCAGTGTATTACTGAGAAAAATACCATTTTGTTAAAAAATTAATCGTTCTTTTCTTTTATTGCAAAGATGTATTTATTTGGTATTACAATTTTTTGCTTTCCAAATAGTCAATAAAGACAGAATATTCTCTTGTTCGCAAACATGTATCGTGCCAACACAGATTTCGGGCAAATATTTACTTTATTGTTAACATGTGCCTGAATATGTTATACATGCTACTATTGCTTTAAATCTTTCGTACTAGTAGAAGAATGAATTCATATATTTAATACCATAAAATATACCTTAACTACATATTCAATGTGATCATTCTAAAGATATTCAGGTTTTCATAAGGTTTCTCTTACTGAAATAAAACAAATAATCCTGGTCCGTGTAACCCACTTGACTCTCAAGTGTACATTCGGCCCTTTGATGTTTTATACTGTTCTGCAGTCTTCAAAACAGCTAGTATCTAATGTGGCTAAAGAATGAATGAATGTGTGTGTGTGTTGATACTAGCATCAATCTCGTTGTGCACAATGGTATGTGGGTCCGAATGAACACTTTTGTCACAAATACATCTGACAAAAAAACAGATTATATTCAATTTTCTGAGAGGCCATGAAGCAAAACGCATTCATGACACTATAGTGAAACAACGCCATACTCCTTGAGATTTCCACTAGAAATCCGTTCGCTAACGAAAACATGAGCCCACAGTATTTTTTACGGGAATGCTCGCTACAAAAATACGGATTCAGTTGAACTCCTAGCTTAAAATTAATCATACTAAATCTAGTCTTCAATCGAGCTGCCATACTTGAAAGAAGCCCCTACACAAAGTAACTGTCAGATTAGATAGGCAATTTGAATATACCTGTATACATTTTGACACTTGAATGAGTACAGACAAGAACACATATCAGCAAAAAAACCTTCGTTTATTTTATTTATATCTACTTCTGATACTATGAATATAAAATCTATGACTGTTGTTTTCCGTCAAATGTAGTATTAAAATATTGTGCACGTGCAGAAAAAAGCGTTCTCACACTTTATTTCAAAATAATTCTCACTTTTTATCAACTGCTAGTCCCTACTCAAACCTTTCAGGTCTAAAATGTTGATGTTTGTTTGATGAATACAAACAGCCCGAAGTGTATCTTCAAGGGACTATTTAGTGCACCGGCTAGTCATTCGTCGGTGCCCCTTCGAGGCACTATTCATGGCTAGCCACTATCATGTTTCATTCTATTTCTCCATAACGCCATTCTTTTTTACTTAGACCTCACCTAATCTCAAATTCGGCTTAATTTGAAAAACTATTAGCTCTGTAGCACGAGAGAACATCAAGTAGCAACAACTAGCGGCTTGTCAAAACAAATGGAAAGAAATTGAAGAGGCCTTTATCCTGCAGTGGATCGATCCCAGCTGAAGATGATGATGGTTTCGAACATATGATACTCTATATATGTTCCAGAAACCGGTTTGGTTTGCTGAAAAGAAAGAGAAAGAGAAAGCACATACTGATCGTATCACTAGTGCTAAAATACGGACCAAAGCATGGATATATGTGTATCTTCGAACATTTTTGAGGTTCGATACCAGTCGGCTGCGTAGTAGCGCTATGTTCGTGATGTTTTTCTGCTGATAATGAAGATTCAAGGATAGATTATGTGTTTGGTCAGAAAGTTCGTTTGTTATTGAAGGATACAAATTTTTGGGATTCTTAGAATTGGTTTTTTTAGAGTGCAACGTGCGTTTATACAGCGATCAGTTTTGAGTAAAAGAAAATATTTCCTGAAGAAGAAAAAAGGTTTCTGGAAATCCAAGGTTATTTTCGAACAGGAAGACTAACTTTAAGAAATCGAATGTTGTTTCTGGGAGATTCAGTGCGTTCTATTGGTTTCCAGACAACCGACTTTTCTGCAAAGAGATAGACAAGAGGTTCAAAATGGTCGTAATAGGAAAATCAAGCTACGCTATTGTATCCTGAATACTTAGGACAGAAGCGGAGCGTTGGAGTCTGTTTTCGCCCTCGTCTTCACTCAGGCGATGTCTGTATGGTTCACCCGCATGCTTGTATAGAGCATTCTATGGCTGCTGACGACCATTATATCGACTATGTGCACTAGGAAAACTGAGTGGAGCTTCCAGAAAGAGATTACCTTCTTTAAATCAATTTGTTGTCCGAAAACCTACTGAGTTTTCTGGAAACTTATATAGAGCATCATATGTTCCGGAAGAACTATACGGATTACGTACAAAGAATCGTATTTTCCTCAAGCATGCTTGGCTTACTCGTCACTTTGATTATGCTCATTATACCTATCAGGGCCATTATACTAATTATATCCATTATGCTTATTACGTACATCAGAGATGTGCGGTCCACGAAATTCACTCCGCGGGCCCTCCGGGGCCACGTGGCAACGGACGGGTGGAGAAGAAAAATTTATTAAATCGTGGGATTAACGGGGCATGGATATTGTTTGGCGCACGGGTGGACCAGGCAGCGAATGATTTTTTAAATGGTACGGGTCTCGGGCGGAGCAGCTATGAAATATACGGGTTCGGGCGGGTAAACATTTTTTTCGGGTATGATGGAGAATCGTCAAAACTTATCAAGAGAAGTCGTTAGTGCAAGTATGTAGTAAAAAGTACATATTGATTGGTTCATTACTTTCATCCTATTATGTACAACCTTGTCTACTATTTTTTTCTTCCTTTTTTTATCATCAGTCATATTTAATTTCCACTATTAATTTATATTAAGTGAATAGCTGGACTAAAACTTATTTTATATTTACAAATAATCTTCGGATTTTTTTGTCGATTAATGTGATCAAATCAAATGACCTATCTCGTGATGAATCATCTGATAGAACGACTTCGTCAAACACTAATCGTTCATCTTCAATCATGATTTCATCTTTTGGTCAACCCTCATCAAGTAATAACAAATATTATTCGGCAAACATCAACATTTTTTTTAAAGAACAACCTGAAAAAAAAACGTGTTTGTCGAGTAGCTGCTATTACTGGTCTATCTTTACCATGAAAAGAGATAATCGAACGTTTACAAGGAACTAATACATCCTCTCTACATTGTAGTTACATCTTTTTGGTATCTTCTGGAAAGTCAGTTAGTGATGAAGAATAAAGCAGTTGATAAAACAGCCAAAAGTGAATCACTCCTTAAAAAGCCAAGTGAGTAAGAATTTATCTTTTTTTACACGTGTTGTCTTTTTTAAAAGACGTGCACGACAATTATGAAAAGTAATGTTCTCTTTACACGATCTACATTGGATCTCTGTAGTACGCAATCGACGTACAAGAATGCTCAAACGTGCTACTGATATTGAACGTGCACATGCATATTGTGTAGTGTAAGCTACGAAGGATAAACTTATGGAAATAGCAGAAATTGATAATAATGAAACACTATCTTCGGCAACTACTAGTCTAATTCCACCACCTCACAGAAAGTTCAAGTCCTTCACAACACAATTTTATGATGATACAAATTCAGGTGAAACACGTAGTAATATGACAACTGTAAAACGTGCACTTTGCGAATTAGAACTCTATTTACAACTGTATTTAACGAATGGCAAATTTTTCAATGCTAATATTGACAATTCACTGTTATTCTGGAAAGAACAAGAACACTTACTATCCAATGTGTTCAGATTAGCAAAACAAAACTTTTCTATTCTTGCCTGTTCAGTTACAGTAGAACGTGCATTCAATTCAGTCTGTATTGTCATATCGCACACAAGAAGCGATTTTAATCCATCTACAGTCAATTGTGCTATACTGATTCGATCGGCTGCAGCTTATTTGAAGGTGTACTCATAGACTCTACTTAAGATTCTTTATTGTAAAAAAAATTAATTATTTACAACAGCAATGTATCATTAAAAATAAAATATGTGATAAATCAAAACTTCTTCGGGTTACACGGGGGCGGATCGGTCCAAGAAGCTGCCTGCGTAGGGTGTGGGCATAAATTTGTCGGGGCACAGGCGAGGCGGGGACTCTCATAAAGAATATTCGCGGGATTCGGGCGGGACGGGTTTGCGAATTTTACGGAGTGGGTCCTGCGGGGCATGAAAAATCAATACCCCGCACATCTCTGATATGCATTACAGCTACTATGTCCGTTAGCAATCTCTTATAAACATTTCCAAAATAAGGTCAGTTGCCTGGAAAGTAATAGAAAGCAGAGAATCTAGACAACATACGTGTGATATCTATATTAAGCATCAAGCATACAAATAAATGGATTGAGAGAGTACCTTTATAGTTAAATAAGGCTTTGACGCTTTGTCGATTTTGTAACTACTATTCTGATAACGTAAAAAAAACCCACACCACTTTTTTTTTTCTCTAATATCATACGTCGAGCTTATGAAGCATGTGTGCTTGTCTTTTCGTTTTCATAGCACGAGTCAAATTATACGATAGCACCTTGAGTTGATAACAAAAGATAACATAAAAATAAAATTAATGATAGGGCTATAAAAAGAGAAAATTTGGACTGGATGCGGAGTGTGGATGCGGAGCAGCGATGGGACCGGTTCGGTTCCAAATATTCGGAACCGATTTCCATCCAAATATATATTTAATATATTTAAATTTGTTAGAGGGTGCTCTAATGTACATCTTTATCTCTTATTCTTTTCTCTTCTATTTTCCTGTCCGACCATGACAATTTCAATAAATGATCACTCTTTTCTTCTGTTCTAAATTTAAGAGCATTCCCATAAAAGAACATGTTGAGTGTCATCCTTTCTATATAAAACAGTCTAGAGTGGAGTAGAGAACACTTATTCACCTCTCTTCTTGTATTTTGCTTATACAGTTATTTCTCCGTCTTATGTGGGAAAATAGATGTATGTGTAAAAGAAAAAAGAAAAGATTTTAATTCAAATAAAATTGAATTTCGACTGGATGGGTGTGGGCGGGGGTGGGGGGAGTGTAATCTTCTCTAATGATCCACACCCACACCCACACTTATAGAAGAATGAAGCAAAATATCAAGAGACTGGATAGACATCATGTATCTACTAATATTGAATTACGAAATACTTAAGAGAAATTAATGAATCTTTTAGAAATATCTGAAAACGAAATTCCAATTATTTTAAAAAATTATAATTTCTTTCCCTAATTAAATAACTAATTATTGTGGAAAAATTAAACGAAAAGTTCACGAGAAATAAGCTAATTCATTGAGATATTTTTCATGAAAAAAAAGAATAACTAACATTACTTAACTAATAATTGTTTATTTTATTACGTCTTGAATAGATTACTTCACGAGTTCACTTTAAAAAATACGGCATTGCTTGAGAATGGTAACATCTTATAGTCGAACTAAATTGAAAATCATAGCATTCGAATCAATTATTTCTGTTAGTCTATCATATTGTGATTTATTTGGATTCTATTGCTTAGTGAAAATAATTGTAGTTTTAATCATATACCATTTTTAGAAAGCATGCCACTTTGTATAAGAATATGGATAGATCGTTTCTTTTCCACTTTGCATACTTTGAAAATCGAGGGTGTGTGGGTGTGGGTGTGAGTACCTGTATTTCACTCACACCCACACCCTCCCACACCCACACACCCACACACTCCTCTCGTTTTCATCATTCAAATCATGATGTCCTGTTTTAACAAACAACCACAGCAGGATAAATTTTTCACTGAGAGACCTTGTTGTAGAGATGAAAATATGAACTGCAATGTCTGCTATAGGTGAAGCTATGGATCACTAACCCTGACAAAGAAGATGGAATAACGAAATGCTGCATGAAAAAGCCACCGCAAGTTCTTCTGAATGCTGCCAACCGAGTAGGAAATACAGTGCCTGCCTTCGCTAATGTTTTATCAACGTTTGGTCGAGCAACCATCATCGTCCTTGGTCTTCTATTCATTTTTCTTTTGGCTAGCAGCACTCTTGTGATTGGCATCATGGCAAATTTTCGTAGCCCGTCATCGTGCACTTCACAGAGGAAAGTCAGAGCTCTCTCTAAGCTTGAACTTTCTCAGAGCCTCAATCTATGGCTTTCTTTACCTCAATCTGAATCTGTTGTCATTCCACCTCTTTTCTCTCCAAACTTTACTTTTCATCCCATTGGCCCAATACTACCCTTGCTATCGACGCCAACTCCACACTACACAATTAGTATGCCCATCTGGCTCATCGTGCTTGATGTCATGGCCATTCTCCTCACAGTAGTTCTTATTGTGCTCGTAAGTGTTCTGCACCAATAGAGTTTGAGTTCTTTGTTAGCCGAAAACGTGACTTTTTCACGGCGTACTTAATCACTCACTTTTCGACACTCTATCTGTTTCAAGATTCTTCTACGTGTCAGGTATCTTTACAATGGGAAAGAAAGGATATTTCAGTTCTGGTTCAAGCTTACCATAGGACTTGCATCATCTCTCTTGATATGGGCAGTCGTGCCGGTAGGTTCGAGGTTTATAGTAACTGTTGTTTCCCTTTTTCGCTTCGATCAGTCTACAATGAGCCTAATCCAATTGCAAGGATGGCAAGGCTGCTTCGATACTACAAGTAAGGGTTTCAGAAATTATGCGATATCACTTTACGTTCTCCTCTTGCTGTGTACTATCGGCTTCATATGTAGGATCGTTCGCAAAATGCAAGTTAAAAACTAGTCAAACTATGTCGTCATCTCTTTAGTAGATCGCAAAATTTTTCGAACCGCATCTGTTATACTATCCATTATTTACGTGTTCATGAACCAGACCGGTGCGCAGGGTATTGCTGTTGCTTTTTGTGCTCGTGTTCGTGTTCATATTTCAAACGGAAAGCGCCTCAGTCAACTGTCCTTCCAGCAGGTGTATAGAAAATAGACGTGTGATTGGATGAACCATCGATCACCACTAAACGTAAAAACTTCATGCAGAACAATTTTTTATGCAGAGGTAACTGTAGACCGAACAAAACACTTTGGTGTTTCATACCTGTTACTGGTTTGCATCGTTTTTGAGTTTTGTTTACTTATTTATTTCGTATCATATACAATAGCGCAAAGATTGCAACTCAAACTTGAGAATAACGCACGATACAGAAGACGATCCAGAAAACATGACGCCAGATTGCCATGGCGAATTCTCGTGCAGAACTTCTAGATACTGTTCGAAATCAGACAGACACACAACAATGGGTGGCATAGAAAAATGAGACACTTTGTATTTCTCGATATTCTCTTCTGGTTTTCACTGTTTACTTCTGAGCATAACTTCAAAAGAAAGCTCAGGCAATTCTCTCCCAGTATCTATGCAAATGTTTGATTTATATTTCGAACGAGTATGAGGGTAATTTATAAGAGCATATCACGATTAGTTTCGACCTTGCTGAAAGATCTCTTCAGATTGCTTAAGATATTTTATTTCGATTTAATTAAGAAAATGTAGTTGAGGATGATAGTGAGTATTATATGAAGAAATTACTACGACTAGTTTCGTCGTTTCTCAAGAGACTCCTCAGGTAGTTTTAGCACTGCATTAATTTTTTCATATACAAATATCAAAGAGATTTCTTTTTATACAGAAGATCGTTTGAATATTTAATAGATGATTATAGAAGATAAGACAAGAAAGCCAAAGCATCACACGACACGCTATCGTCCTTGCTTTAGAAACCTATCAGGCATGCCTGGAATTTATTATTACATAACATCTTATATATTGATTAAAACTCTTCAAATTTGAAAATGAAGAAGTTATGAACAATACAAAAAGAAAGCAATCGTAATAATTCTTATCTAGTATACAAATCTGTATTAAGGTTTCTTCTATACCCTTACCTGCTGAAATATCTTTTGATCCTGCTGAAATAAGATTTTGCCACAAGGGGGAAACGACGTACTCTCGTACTTTTGTACTCTACAGAGTCCATGGACTTTGATTGGACTCCGTGTACTCTGACTGGATTTTCATGGACTCTGAGTACAGAGAGTCCAAAGAAAAACGCTGTACTCTTGGACTTCCTGGACTCTCATGGCAGTTTCAGAGTCCATGAAGTACTCAGAGTACAGATAGAGTCCATGAAGTACTCAAAGTACAGATAGAGTCCACGAAGTCCACAAAGTACCAACTGAGTTCGCGAAGTCCACGAAGTCCATGAAGTCCACAAAGTCCATGAAGTCCACGAAGTCCAATCATCGGGACAACAATGCGATTTTTCGTTCATTCTTGACGTACTTGCGCTGGACTCTGTACTCTGCTGGACTTTCGTGGACTCTACTGGACTTCGTGTACTCCAATGGACTCTGTGGACTCCAGTGGACTCTGTGGACTCTAAG